AAGTTTAGAAATCAACCCAAAAAGAATATAGAAAATCACTAGTTGACTTAAAAAAAGCTTATTATAATGCCGAACTTAGTAAAGCAAGGAATGATGTTAAACGGATATGGAGAACACCCAAACACTATAATCAACAATTCCAAACCCAGGAAAGACCGCTTGCTACCCAAGTTAGTACCTACATGAAGGACACACAGGATGTTTCCAGCATTCCAGCCTGCTAAACCAATACTTTTCCGGCGGAATTGCTGCAGAACTAGCAAAAAAGATAAATCTTGTTTTTAATATACTGCATCTGTACCAAGTAGGTTGTTTAAAATGGCGAAGGTTATCCCTTTGTTTAAGGGTGGTGATAGCGCAGAACTGAACAACTACAGGCCCACTTCCCTGCTCGCAGCTATGTCTAAGGTATTGGAGACCTGTGTAAATATGAGATTAAGCAGTTATTTGGATGAAATAAATTTTTGGTATGCGGTCCAATATGGATTCAGAAAACACAGCAATACCTCCTCAACAACTACAGACCTAACTACAAATATTTATGAAAAGGTTGATACGAGACATAAGTGTGTACCTACTTGTCTCGCTGGACTTTAGAAAAGCTTTTGATACAGTAAATCACAAAATTCTCGTGGAGGTGCTTGAAAAAACTGGTATTGGAGTTTCAGCACTACTGTGGTTTAGGGATTATCTATCGGGCAGACTACAGTATGTTGAATGTGAAGCTAACAGAAGTAAAATGGAAAACATTGTACACAGTGTGCCCCAAGGCTCAATTCTGGTATCGACACACTCTTCCTAGTGTACATGAACTCACTGTCATACATACCTCTTCAGGGCTCACTCAATTTATATGCAGATGATACTTGCATCACTTATTTTGACAAGGACCCTGCTAGCTTAAAAATCATCATTGAAGAAGACTTACAGAAAATAAGAGATTGGCTCCTGTTACCACAAACTTGGTTTAAATGTGAAAAAATCAAGCTCTGGTAATATCAAAGTTTGAGTCCTGGCCAGACTTCACGGTAAACTTTCAAGGCCTCCCATTGATTCGTGCAAACTGCATCAAATAGCTGGGAATTTTTGTCGATTCAAAAGTTACTTGGGATATGCACATTTTGCATATTTAGGGTGTTTCACGAACATCGAAACAGAGGCGTTTTGAAGTATTTTAATGTTGATTTAAAAAAAAAAACCATCGGACATGGCAATTTTGTATTCAAGGGGGAAACTTTTTGACCCCATCGGTATTTCGCTAGGGTGCTCCCCTGGGTGAATGACTTTCACCCCTCTTTCTTAGATAAGAAAGATATGGGTCGACTGGCACCTTATTTTAAAGGTACCTATTTTGATTTTCATCACAACTGTGTACTTTTTTTGAAAATCGAATGATCAGTTCTCAAGATATTTACTTTCAAAGTTGCCATAGGCTTTATTAAGAAACAATCTTCTGGCCCTGTTATTCTCAAATTAACACTTTCCTGACTTTCCTTTTGGACACCTCAATTTCAATTTTTTCGGAAGCACACAAAAAAAGAAAATTGACGTGTCTGAGAGATAAGTCAGGAAGTGTTAATTTGAGAATACCCAGGGACAGAAGATTGTTTCCTATCCAGCCCATAGCAACTTTGATTGTCAATATCTTGAGAACTAATCATTCGATTTTCAAAAAAAGTACACAGTTGTGACGAGAATCAAAATACCTTTAAAACAAGGTGCATTCGACCCATCTTTCCTATCTAAAAAATAGTAGGTCGAATATCGGACTATATGACCATTACGCATCGTAAGATGATATACAATTCCCTTATCCACTCTCACATCCACGCGAGCCCGAAGGGCTGGAGTTATTTTAATCACGGGGCCCCCCAGTCTATAATTCTATTTGTCAGCGGATAATTTGGAGCCAATCAAAAATCGGGCATATTCAAAATGTGATTTTTAGTCGATATTCTGAGTTTTCATAAACTCATCTCCTGCGTAATTTAAATTAAAAAACATCGTTGCTCTGCTTCGCAAGAATTGCAAGCATAATAACTCAAATAATTCAACATTTACCTATAGCCATGTCCACACTTGTGCGTTTTGATTTTCAGCTTCACATAAAGTCTGTTTTTCTATAAGACAAAACCCCATGTCAAAAATTTAGTAACTCTGTTGGCAACACAAGCCTTTTCTACGTCAAAAATTTGAAAGCATTGACAATTCTTGCATCTTCCATAACTGAATACTGGATTATTATTGGATTTATTATGGTTTTCAAGTAAATTTTACCTAAGTACTTAAAAATACTTTAATTGAAAATATTTACTTCAAGTAATTTTACTGGTACCTACCTACTTAAATAATTAAATAACACTTGACTGATATTTCAAGTATTAAGTACCTACAAGTGAAATTTGAAAAACTTGAAATTACAAATACAAGTACCTACCAATGTTTGGATTAGTACTTAAGTCAAATACCTTAGTATATTTTTGTACTTAAGTATTTACTTCAAGTTTTTGAAATGCTCAGTACAACAGCTCAGGGTCCTTATTCTTGAAACAGGGAAGCAACACGTTCCCAGGAGAACGAGTGTTCCGTCTTTCTCAATGATATGCAAATGATAATATAAGTAACAAAGATCGAACACTCATTCTCCTGGAAACGCTGCTTCCCTGTTTCAAAAATAAGGACCCAGGGGATAACTTCATGTTTTATGAGGAACTTTTTATTTATTTCTGTTGCAAGTTCCAATCGGGTATGCCAGTAAAGATCCGAGAAAGCCGAGCCAGGAAATAAATAAGCGCTGAATAGAAATTCAATAAGAATAATCAAACTCTTTAAATGAAGTTACTTTCGATATCTGGAAAACACTGATTCATTGCATAAGACAATATAAGTTCTCCTTATTATCCAAGAAACTGTTCTTTGAATTAGTTCTAAGTATTGTTTAATACAAAAAAGTTAAAATAACTCATAAAACAAAATTTAATTACCATCGCCGTTGCACCCGTAATGACATGTATATTCGTTGTGGATCCGGATTTCGTTTTTTTATTTTGTTTCTTCAAATGTCAACCTGTAAAAATAATCTCGTTTTACATTAACCTGGTTCAAGACAGATATATTGCAGCCAGTCCACTATTGGTACTGTGAGTTTCGGTTTAAAACAACACACTAATTTTGTAATAAGTTTGAGTTTTGGATTTGTGCTCGCTAAAAGGTAGGAAATTTTGAAATTGCTGTGCCTTAATAGATCCAATAATTCTCTCTAGTATCTAATTTTTACTTTATTATATTATCCAGAAATTTAAACACAATAAATTTTGCTTGATATGACTAGTTGGTGGCGCCTAATTTTAATAGACTAATAAATTTGAGGTTTTTAAGGGTAGCACACGTGTAGCTAAAGGGTGACAAATAGAGGCGGTGAAAGATCACGTTCAAAGAGGCTGAAAATCACCTGTAAGCTGTGAAACATATTTTTTACTTAATGGATGTTCTGATTCAAGGGGTGTTCGGGTCCTATGTTAAAACATATAGGATTAAATAGATTTTCAAAAAGAAACATTTCAAAAATCAAATAATTTATTACAAAACTTTCGAATTATTAGAACTTGGAATTGGAATGAATCAAAATTAAGATAATTTGTGTCATTAGATTAGCAATCTTCAGCTCAAAGTTGTTTCGTTGAAATAAAGCACTGAAGCTTTTGCCCTCATGGAAGCTTCCGAATTACGATAAAGCAAAGTTTTTCCCATACAAAATTAGAACTGTAAGTAATCAAATGCATAGGTATCTCTATACCAATAGTTTACCAAATACCTATATGAGTTATATTAAATTGTCATTAACAGGCAAAATATCATAAACTTAAGGTGCACGTTAAAGGATAAATTCAGGATATTAGGTGTATTTATCATTGAAACAGATCAGGGTAAACAGGAAATAGTTACATCATGAAAGTGCCACATTAACAATCAACAACAGGTCCGATACGGTCATAAAGTCCTTATAAATTAGTTTTCAATAGGTGCGACTAAACATAAAAATAAAGTTTTATTATGTATTTTTAAAACTTGCAATTAAAGTCAGCATTCTGACTATTGTATCATTTTTTATTACTCTATGATGAAAGTGTTATTAATAGATGTGTAGAATATTATAAATATCACAGATTTTGTCCTTCTTACCCTTGCGACCTAGTTCCAGTCACATTTAAGAGATCCAGACCATCCTGTCGCTCCGTCACCCTTAATTCCTATAAAAACAAAAACATGCCCTGGATACCTACTACCTAAAAGGCGTTGCTAATTTAAGTGAAATGTGGAACATCGGGCCAATCCCCATTTAATCGCTTTCCTATTATTTCCTTTATCTTTTCAAAAGATATCGGGTTACCTACTGTGAAATAAAAGCCCTTTTGCCAAAAATGACAAATTCGGGAAATGACCTGAAGTTTGCCCTAGTTTTAGGCAAGAATGAAAGAGATAGAACACAACAATATTAGGAATATTTTCATAGGGAGTGTGATTATGGACAAAATATATTAAACTTATTTATCCCATTTTGACGTTTAAAAATGACATTATTGAACGCATAATAACAAAGGTAAGTAGACGTTTATTACCTGAGTGACTTAAAATATTTTTAACTCACTCTCAGCCTTTTAAGTCACTCAGCTGGTACAAAAATCTGCTACAAATACAAACAAACAACTAGCTATACCCTAGCAACTACCAGTTTCAGTTGGTATTAGACATTAGCGCTCGCTGAATGAATTCTTTTTATAATTTGATTCCTATTAAGTACTCAATTTTTTAAATGTCCATCAAAATGGAATAAAATTTTGTATACATCACATGAGTTAAAATGTTTATTCATTCGAAAAAATTAACCCACTCGCTAGGGCTCGTGGGTTAAACTTTCTTCTCATGAATAAACATTAATTTAACTCACTTGGTGTATAAATAACTATTATCATTAAATTGTCTGATTATCATTGTACTAATTTCGTTTTATCTCTTTTTTAACATTTTATTCCATAATGATTTTGCTCTATTTGCATTAGGTATATCACATTGTAAAGGAGGGGCACAAATTTTTCAGAAATCCAGGTTTTTGCCAACCATGATTTCCCTAGATTTCTCCAAACCTCCCAAGATTTCCCTGAAGAGTTTTGAATATCTCGTGTACACTGGATATTCTGGTGTGAATGACCCCTTGTCTTGGTAAAATGTTTCGATAATTTTTTCTCGACTATCTGGTGTTTGTCTGTTTGTATTAGTTTTAGTTTGTATTATACATCAAATTTGTCCCGAATGAATTCAGTGGGAGTTATATTCAAAATTTGATTGCTCGTGAATATTAATATTCTAATCATTTAATGAATTCTTACCGCAAACTAAAAATATTGAATTTGCTCCAAAAACCACTATCAATCAAGGCAGCAGTATAAATAAGCTTTCACTCGAACAATACAATCCAAATCAAATATGGAATCCATAAAATGTGTCGTGGTTGGTGATGGGTAAGGCAAACAAATCGGTGTACATTATTTTATTGCTAACATGTCCTTTATAGTGCCGTAGGTAAAACATGTATGCTTTTTTCTTATTCGTCTAACAGTTTTCCTTTGGATGAAGGGGCTATTTTTGATAATTACTTAGCTGATGTAAGGGTAGATGGCATACCTATTATTCTAAACCTTTGGGACACTGCCGGTCAAGAAGACTGCGATGGACTCAGGCCCTTATCCTATCCAAAAACTGATGTGTTCCTTATTTGTTTTTCATTAGTTAGGGCGACTTCGTACGACAATGTTAGGACAAAGGTGTGGTTGTATTAGTGTGTTCCCAAATCAAGTGTTCGATTTTTTTAATTTTTAGTGGTTTACTGAAGTGAAAAATCACTGTCCAAACACTCCTATTATACTAGTTGGCACGCAACAAGATTTGAGAGAGAACAGAAGGCCAGATTATATTAGAGAAGTTGTCACTTCCCACAAGTAAGCACCAGGGGGCCATCATTAATTGATAAGCCAAACAATTTATTTTAGGGTGTGGCATTAGCAAAAGATATAAACGCAGTCAAATATTTGGAGTGTTCCGCATTGACTCAAGTTGGACTCAAAGATGTGTTCCATGAGGCTATAAGGGCTGTACGGAGCTGTCAGGTTTTATAACAACATACATCCTTTTGTTAATTAAATTACTTTGAGATAGGTATACGGATGGCAATGAAAATACACTACACAGTTACTATAAAATTTCGGCATTTTTATTTCAAAAAACAAATAAAAATACATATTATATCAACAGATTGATGGCTTTAGTATCCATTTCCCCTCTAACTATACTTAGTGGAAATTCAAGACGGAAGGGATTCACCTCCCTTTGGTGGTCATTTAAGGCATCATGGATAGGCTAGATACTTGTGATTCCAACCTAAAATGTGCCAGCCAGAAATCATAAAACTGGAAAAGCACCCCAAGTTTGACTTAAAAGTTGTTTGTTTGATGTGGAATAATAGTATAGCCCCACAAGTTGATACACGAAACTTACAACATACAATAAGTCTTCTTCTCTTGTTTTCCATTTCGAAGCTCCATTTTGAGGCCGGAGACCCACCACACAACTTTAGAAGTGTCTTGTAACCTTATCTTTAATTTATCTACGTCGTTCCTAAAAAGAACGTTGTGTAGACGCTTTTATCATTAACAACATCATAACAATTATTGTAACTCTATCGGTCAGGAGGCTTAAGAGTCCTAGCGCAGCCCATCGCTAAAACTTGCAGCATGGATGAACTTTCATGTTGTGGAAAATATCAACAGAACTTAGTATGCAGTCGGGTGACGGAATTTCTCTCAAGATTTTTCAGCACCTTCCTGATTGTACAATCAGCGCTCTGGCTGATGCCATTAACATCTCTTTCTTGAGGGGAATTTTCCCAAACTTATTGAAAAAGTCGATATAGTTATCCCAATTTTTGAAAATGGTGACACTGAGTCTTCCGCTAATTTTAGACCCATCTCATTAATGAATACACTTTCAAAAATAGTCGAAAAGTTGGTATGAAGATACGAGTCAACTCTTTCATTGATGGGCATGGTATTTTGAGTGTGTCTCAGTAGGGATTTCGGGCAGGGAAAAACACGAAGGACGCGGTGTTTTCTTTGCTAAATAACCTATATCTAAGACTGAATGAGAGAGAACAGGCTGCAGCAGTCTTCTGTGATCTTTCAAAAGCGTTTGACTGCGTTAATCACGGAATATTGCTTCAAAATCTTGAGATGTATGGTTTTCGGGATACTGTTTCTTGCCTGGTTCAAGTCTTACTTGAGCGAAAGAGCACAGAGAGTGGGCGTGCGAGGTTCCGAATCTAGCGAACTGACTGTTCCCTCCGGAGTGCCGCAGGGCTCCATAAAGCTGTAAATGGAAAACTAATTGAACTTTAATACTGGCTATTTTATTTTTCATTTTATTCTTTCAACACTGCCTGATAACTGGAATTTACCAGCGAATTCGTAACGAATCATTATCTAGACAATTTTAGAAGTAACGATGCGCTATAAAACAGAGTCGACAAAGGTGAGTGACACATTAGACGTTAGTGTATCAAAGATTAGTAACTGGTGAATTGAACGCTAAGTGGATAAGTCGATAGTGACACTGATGGATAGTTTTTTGACTAGTTATGATGCTTGATTCTAGTTCAATAAAGTATGTAATTATGGCTAGTTTTGTCGTGATTTTTATCTGATTGTCTTAAATAATGGTAAATTAATTTCGGAAGATTAGTCTCATCTTCTCTGCAAACCCACATTTTGAAGCTTGTGATTTTATACTTACCTATATCATTTGATTTTTTTCCCGTCGGCATTGAAACATCCTTTGAGCTAAAACATCATACCTAATTATTATTGCTACTAGTGAATCTAGAAAACAAATAGCTTATATGTATTTCAATTTGCCGTGCCATTTAGTTTTGAAAAATTGCATATCTGGTGCAGGCAGATGTGCTGCAGCCACTTTACTTAAGCAAATCTTTCATTGGCCTTTTAGCATTATTGTAGTGAATAAACGATTACGATTCATCTTGCGATTATCCTAGACGATTTTACGCTTATTATTTTGAAAAACGCCGCGTATTCCTTGATAAAAACTTAATAAGTATAAATTTCAAGTACCTACTTATTGATATTGAGATACGTAAATCGGACAGCTTTTACAAGGATCTGTGATAAAGTAGAAGATGAAATATCTAAAGAAAGATAGGATTTGGATGAAGTTCATAGTAGTATTAGAGTTTTGGACAATAAAATGCTTCAGTTGAACAAATTGAATCAACTTATGTTAGACTTGATGTTAAACTCAGTTGACGAGGAAGCAAGTATGAATTATGCAGTAGAATTCATGGATGAGTTGAACTTTAGATACCACAAAATCAAATTTAACTTTGATAAGATGTCTAAGGAAGATACAAGCTACAAGCTCTCAGAAATCAAAATTTAAATCCAAATTAAAACTTCCCAAAATTGAATTCAGTCAGTTTGGAGAAGACATCAAGAGTTGGCTTAGTTTTTGAAACCAATTTAGTCGAATTAATGAAGATTCCGACATAGAAGATGAGGATAAGCTGTTAGGATTTAGTGCAAGCTACAGAGACAAGAAGTGGTGGATAAAGACAGAATTTCTCTTGCTGTATCCAGTTTTTAAGATAGGCGGAAGCCTGAAGATTAACACATAAGTAGTAATACTGTTCCAACAGCGTCTCAATTGTCTAATAATCGAACCCCACGATGTGTTTTTTGCAAAGGATGGCAGATGCTGCTTATTGTTGTCATTCCTGTACACGTTTTGGCTATATTTTCCGATGTATCGTTTAAAAGCAAAATGTCCTACCTGTCAAGGAAAACATTGCAAAGTTATGTGCCCGAAAGGAAATGTTAAGTCCTCAAACTTCAATGACACGAATGCTAAAGACCAAAATTCCAAAACCAGTGAACAAAATCTCAGTAACCACAAATCACACCTATATATCCCGAAGTTTTTCTGCAAACCATGGTTGTTGAATTGAAAGGAGAGAGAGAATCACGTAGAGTGAGACTTCTTATCGATACTGGTTCACAAAAAAGTTGGCTGAAAAAGTAGGCTACAAACCAATTAGAGAGGAGCAGCTAGTTCACTCACTATTCGGAAGAAGTCAAACCGAAACTGTAAATTACATATGCTACAAGGTTCGTCTGTATAATCTAACTAAAAATGACTGTTGTGTTGTAATTTTTAAGTTTTGGATCAGCCACTGATTTGTAACTATGTTAGTTCCGTTCAAAAGGACCCTGGTTAGGTCAACTTAAAGAAATGGGAATCGAGATAACAGATATTATGAAAGGACTCATCGATGTATTATTGGTAGGCGCTGATGTAGCTGGAAAGCTATTTTCGGGACGTAAACATAATTTAGAGTGCGGATTGGTCGTAGTTCATACATAACTAGGTGGACGCTTATAGGTAAACTGAAGCCAACTTACAAAACGAAAACAACGTTACTTGTAACTTCTTTGTTTTGAAAAGATCATTTTTTGCCACACCATCCAACTTACAAATCTAGTAGTACCGCAATACCTGTAAGACCTGTTTTTGATCAGACATCAAGAGAAAAAAGTCAACCATCAATGTTTGGAAAAGGGTATCAATCTTATTGAATTGATCCCTTCCATGATTCTACATTTTCGGACAGAGAAGATTGGAGTAACTGCTGATATAAAAACGGTATTTCTTCAGATCAGCTTACAAGAAAGTGATCGAAATTTGTTAAAGTTCCTGTGGTATGATAAAGACGACAACTTGAAAATGTTGAGACATACACGAGTGGTATTTGGAATATCATGCAGTCCTTTTCTATTAGGAGCAGTTATAGACTACAACATTTCAAGGAAACTTTTGAAAAATCATAACACCAAGAAGTAATCTACAGTCGTGATGTTATTTTCAAATTAATGAAGTCTTTTTAGGTTGACAACGTTCTAGCAAGCGTATCAGATAAAGAAGCTCTAAATCAATTCATTGAAGAGTCTGCGTCAATTTTAGCTGATGGTAAATTTGAACTTAGAGGGTGGGAGTATTCTTTATCAGAGTACGTTTAAGTTGAAGAAAGAAAAGGAGCAACATTCTTGGACTTGTTTAGAAAAGAAATTTAGACACTTTGGAACAGATTCCGTACAGATTTTTGATAAACTCGATATACGACAGGTAACTAAACTCATTAAGTTGTTTGACCCTATTGGCTTTTTGTGTCCAGTTACGTTGATTCCCAAAATTTTACTTCAAAAGACATGGTCTTCGAATTTGGGATGGGACGCTAAGGCACTGGAGAAATTCGAGAAATATTTTTGAAATAGCTACAAGATTTTCCATACTTGACCTATGTTAAAGTTCCTCGATGAATAGCTACAAATTTCAAAGAATGCCGACGCTTATGCAGCTTGTATTTTTTTAGGGACAGGAGTAGATGAAGGTCAAGTTTCTTTAAGACTAATTGAAGCAAAATCTAGAGTAGCAAATTGTCAAGAAGTTAACTATCTGGTTTGGTTTTAAACTTTTAACTGCTATCCTTGGTATACGATTATTTCAAAACTTTTACAATAATCACGGTTTAAAACTTGAGGTTTTCTTTTGGTCAGATTCATCATCATAGGGGAAAAGACTAATGGAAATCGTTCACCTGGAATCATGTAAAAGAAATAAAAAAGTTTACCTAACCTGAAAATTGGTATCATGTTCCTGGTCAATTGAACCCAGCAGATCTTCCTTCAAGAGGCTCTTCTGCGAAAGCACTAGCTGAAAGAAGATGGTGGAAGGGACCTCGATGGTTACTTAATCCAGTTTCAGAGTGGCCAAGTCAAAATTTTGAGTGCGACGAAGAAGAAGTAAGTAAGGAAGGAAAAAAGAAAGACTGTAGTTTCTTCTTTGAGTGCGACTAATAATTTTTTATGGTATTACTATGGTATTTCTCAAAATACAGCCAAATAGTCAACATGATTGCGTAGATGCTACGATTTGTCAATAACTTCAGAAAGAAGAATACCGAAAACAAGAACTATTTGACACCAAAGGAATTACAAGTGTCAAGAAAAGTTGTCATTCGTTCTATACAAGAAGAAAGTTTTCAGTCCGAAAATGACCCCAAACTGTCACCTTTATGTCCGTTTATCGATGAAGACAGGTTAATCAGGTTAC